ACACGATGTGAAAAATGATAAAAATTGCTCATATGCACTCTTGCTGAACTGCTTCCATGTGGGGCAGTGGTGGCACATGTCTATAATCCCAGCACTTGGGAGCCAGAGGCTGGTGGATTTCTGAGTTCAAAGCTAGCCTAGTCTACGGGGTGAGTTCCAGAACAGCCAGGGTGACACAGAGAAACCCTGTCTCGATAAACAAACAAACAATGCAGAGGCCTTCTTTGCAGTCCCTGATCCATGATTTCGGAGCCCACTTACCAACCACGACAGCTGCCACAGCAGCTTGTTCATGGCTTTAATTTATTTGCTAGACTGACTTCCATCCAGAAAAGTGTGATTTTTGGAGTCAAGAGACAGTGAGATTTTGCTTTTTAATCTAATTAGTTACTGTGTGCCTTCTGACTGATGGGGTTAGGGCTATTTGCACTCAGTGCCATTACTGAGTGGGCTCTGCTATTTCTTACAGTTTCTGTGCTTCATGTTCTGGTTGGATTAGCAAAAGTTCTCTTCTTCCCTACCTGTTAGTACCAAGAGCTTTCTGGCTCACTGTGCTGAATGGATGAATCCTTCCTGGCTCTCCTCTGCCAGTCCTCTTGTGAAATATTTGTTTTCCTATGCTATCACGGATAACACTGTTTTTATTCTTCTCGTGTAGTATTGCTTTAAATATTTTCTGCAATATTGTTTTGGCTGTAATAAATTACCTTCATTTGTATTTATCTTCTGTTCCGTTGCCGTTTCCTCTCAATTTTAAGGGATAACCTTGCTGGATATAGAGATCTTAGCTGGGGGTCACTTACTGAGGGTCACTTAGCTGAGGGAGTTAAATAATGCTTTTCTGGTGAGAGATGACACTGAGGAGAGATTTTTTTTGTTATCTGCCATTTCTGCCTTTGAATGTGACTCGGCATTTTTCCTTTATAGCTTTGAATTACTGTTTCTTTGTTTTGTGTTTTTGAGATTTTAATCATGGTATGTGGTAATACAGTGGCTCTCAGCCTTCCTCAGGCTGCAACCCTTTAGTACAGTTCCGCCTGTTGTGGTGACCCCCAGCCATAAAATTACTTTGTTGCTACTTCATAACTATAATTTTGCTGTTATTAATTGTAATGTAAATGTCTGATATCTGACATGCGACCCCAGTGAAAGGGTCTTTTGACCCCTCAAAGGGTCATGATCCACAGACTCAGAACCAATGTAATAGACTTTTCTTTACCTCTTGTGTTTGGATATCCATTTTTTTTTCTTTAGGCTTGGGAAATGTTCTGCTAAAATTTCCTTGTTCCTGTCTCTAGATGGTATTTCCTCTGCTTTGTGAGTAGTTAGGTCTGTTCTTTTGAACTTACTTCACAGGTTCTGGAATCTACTAGTGTTCATCAGTCTGCTCTTCACATGTCTTAGAGTGAACTGTTGTCTGGACCTCACGCTCCACCTCTCAAATCTGTTCTCCTTGGTTTCTGGGTGATCCTTTCCACTGCATTTATTTGATGATTCTTTCATTTTTAGAATTTGTTTACATGGATTCTTTGGTGAATCTCAATTTCCTTTCTGAATTTCCCTCCATAATTCTGAATTTCTCCTCATGAGCCAGCTCATCCTCTGTGGAAACTTTCTTGTCCAGGTCCTGGACTGATTTCACACATCTACCTGAGTTTTCTCAATAGTCATCGATCCTTCTTAAAAGTAGCATTCTGACCTCTTTTTCTGAGATTTCAGTTTTCTAATTATCCTTGGTATCCGGTGTTTAGCAGTTGTGAGCTTGTGGAGGTGTCTCATCTCTCTGTGTGTTTATTTGTGCTTTGTGTAATATTTTGGGAGGATGTGTCCTCCAGGTTTCTTATCTGTTTCCTCTCTTTTAGTTTCCTTTGTTTTACGTAGGTCCAAGTGGTGAATTGTCTTCACTTGGGAGTTTTTACCTACCGCTCTTTGAGAAGAAGCTCACCGCAACAACACACAGAATGATCTGACATTCAGGTGTAGGGTTGACGTGTAATAGGAGACACTTGTGTACCTACATGGCCAACAAGGTTTAGAGACAGTGGGGCACTCGTACTGATGTGGGAAAATACAATTCATAGTATTTGTTTTAGAGCCAAGGCTATTAATAGTGACTTAGTAAAATGAATGAACTGGTAAAGGAAAAATGGGGAAGAATGAGTAAGCTTAAGTAGTATGATGGGACTGGGCACTGGTGGTTTGCCTCCTGATTTGTGGGCAACAAAACACAACAAAAACTCTCCAATTAGACCAGCAGTTCTCAACCTGTGTGCTGGGACCCATTGTGAGGGGGTTACACATCCGATATTCTGCAAATGAGATATTTATAGTACTATTCATAACTAGCAAAATTACTGCTACAAAATAACAATTAAGTAATGTTATGGTTGGGGGTCATTTTTAGAGGATCAGAGCATTAGAAAACCATTGAATTAGACTGTATCTGTTTTCTTAAAGAAACAGGATCTTTCTAAAAACAAACAAACAATAACAAAAACCCCGTAACTTCTGTCCCTCTGATTGCTTGGATGTGGATGGTTTGCCATTTACCTGCATCTTTCTGTTTATGGATTTTGATATACTAAGCTGGATTCCTTTTTATTACATGAATCATCTATTTTACATAAACACACCCATCTATTTTAAATTCTCCTTTTGTACTGTAAAATGACATTTAAACATAATTATAAAATATTAATCAGAACCCTAATAACAATGAAAAGGAAGACTGTAGTGCAATTAATGAATTATGTACTTCAGCCATGTTCTAGCATGACTATACTAAAACACAAGGGCCCAAATGTTTATATCTATTTATAATGTATACATTGAAATTTAAGAACAATAGGATAAGCAATCCTCTATCGAAATAAGCACCTACAAATGTAGTACTATCAAGTAATTATTTTCCCCAAAATGGTTCAAAAGGATACAAAGTATAATTACCTTCTGCTGCACAACACAGCTGCATTTCTGGAAAATGTAGTATCCATTAAAATGAATAAAAACACTGTGTTTCTGTATAAAACAGTCAGGTCTTAGGTATAAACAACGCAACATTTTTTTTTCTCTTCACAAATATGCTGCATGTGGGACATCTGAAAGGGATGCCAACACTTGACCGTCCTTTGCTTCGCTGGCTGCATTCTGCCTCACACCAGCTGTGCTTGCTGATCTCAGCATTTTCTGAGAAAATCAGACCCTCCACACAATTCCAAAGTGCCCCCTAGAGGTTAGTACCTGCAGGAAACGCTATTTTTATAAGTGTCAGTGCCTTACACCAATGCTATTGTCCATACCTGCCTGGGCTTGAAGAAGCCACTACTCACTCTGTGCTCAAGGCTTCCTTTAGCTGACAACTGGACTACACTTGGAACTCATGATTGTCCAGTGACAGATTTCATTAAAAACCCTGTAAAAATTATCTTAGTATGAAGAGAACTAGAGCCAGCTGTACTGATAACCACATTCCTCTCTGTATCCACTGCCCTTAAAAGACCTCCTCCTGTGCCTCCTAGGTAACCAGGATCAAACTGCAAGGATATGGCCATTTCCCTTTACCCACACAAACACAGAAGTATGCTAAAGCAAGTATCTCAAGTCATTTGCATACGACACTGAAGTACTTGGCTGCATTTTTATTTGGAAGAGCAGCTTCCTAATTAAATTTTGATTCAGCATCTATTGAATAAAAGTGGTTTCTCTTTCTTGATCAACCCCATGTCTAAAGTGTATGTATTTAAGGCACAGGTCAGAAAGAACGTAGTTTGAGAACTGAAAAAAAAAGTGATCTAAGTATTTTAAATATTTCATTAAATAGGATTGGAAGTTTATCTTTTCCACCGAACTCTTCTGTCATGACCATATAGATTCTTTGCTAAATGAGCACCCACTTGTAAAAGCAGCGTGGTTGTAGATAAACTCCTGGCTTTGAATAAAGGCTACAGAGATTCTCTTTACATGGAAGGATTTACAGCTTAGCAGAAAGTCAGCATAGCTGCCCTCTGAACATAGATCGTCTCAAAGTTAAAATACCACTACAATGAATAAAGAGGATCATCCAAGAAGATGGGTCATTGGATAAAATGCTTCCCAGGCAAGTGTGAAGATGTGAATTCAGATCTCCAGCATTTATAGGAGAAGCCGGGGGCAGTGGTGGCCTGCATTGTAATGCCAGTGGTGGGAGGCAGAGACAGGGCAACTGCAGAGCAAACTGGCTAGTGAGACTCTGGCCTCAGAGACTCCTCTGCAGTAAATAGAGGGCGATTGGGACAAACACCTAATGTAAACCTCTGGCTCCCACACACATGCACACAGATGCATTTATGCCTATATGGGATGGAGGGACAGATGAATACACACACACACACACACACACACACACACACACACACACACACACAGAAAATCCCAAACCCTGAATTAGTGCTTGAATATCAATTAAATTTATACACATTATAAAAGACTTTTAAAAAATCCCTCTAGAAAATTATTTAAACTTAATAAATGATATGGCCATTTTAATAGTTAGCCAGCCTTGTTACTAATTTACAATAAAGTCTACAACACCAACCTTTTAAAGAAAACAATCTTACTGTGGTTTGTTTACTCATCAATGTAATTGGGAAAAGATTACCATATCCATGGATACGTACAACATTGTGGTCAAAAGCAACCACATTTGTGGGTATAATGCAGACATTCAATTTTCAGCACTGAGATTTCTAATTTATCCAGATAAACACTGACGCTTTGTGCTTGTACTTGTGAGCTGTGTTGTATGAAAGTCACTGAGTTTAGTTTTAAAGCAACTGGACACACGCTCTACCTCTAAAACTATCTGTCTCTTAGGATATAATGTTACAGGTCACAATTCCTATCATCAAGAAGAAAATGCTGGTGCCGATAAACAACCTCACACTTGTTAAAAGATGATTGAAAAACCTCACAGATGACCCAGTCTCCAGCCAGCACAGGGCAGCCATGACTCCCGTACTCACCTGGTGCTCGGCCGCTTCTGTAAGGCTTTGTCCAGGATGAGGGATGGGGCACTTCTCCTCCTTTCTGCGAGTGTTTTCATTTTCTGTTGAGGGGGAAAAATCAAAATAATGATCAGATGGCTGGTGAAGGAATTAAATGATGGCTTTCAATCTAATTCAGCAAAATTTCACATTGACCATCAGAGTCTACAACTTCCTTTATGGATCCAAAGCCACCACCTTTAAAATAGGACCGCAAATGTCAACGTGAGGTATAGGCCGTTTTTATTGCCAGGGAATTGAAATAAAAATGAAACCTGTCATATCTTTTTGTCTATATGCTCGATGTGAGGTCAGTGGTTCTCCACCTCACTAAGGCCTTGACCTTTTACTGCAGTTTCTCATGTTTTGGTGACCCCCGACCATAACGTTGTTTTCATTGCTACTTCTCAGTTGTAACCTTGCTGATGTTAATGGCCTGTAATGTAAATATCAGATATACAGGTATTTAATACCCCAAAGGGGTCAGGACCCACTGGTTGAGAACTATTGTGCTAGATAGACATGAATCTTTTTATTTATATTCCCAGGTATCATTGGGGGATAGACTATTGACTCCATTTCATGGTGATCACGAGTTCTCAACTAAGCTTCAGTGGAAGATTAGATTTGGAGAGTTCAAATGAAGGGAAGAAGAATCAGTTAAAGCCCAAACCATAGTGAGTAGGGGCCCCTGTTTTTACAAGATTTATTTACTTTTTATGTGTATTTGTTAGCCTATTGTACACCATATGCATGTAGCACCAGTGGAAGCCAGAAGAGCGCCTCCGATCCCCTGGAACTGGGGTGACAGGTGGTTGTGAGCCATCGAGTGAGTGCTGAGGAGTGAATCCCAGTCCTCTGCAAGAGCATCAAGAACCCTTAACCACTGAGCCATCTCTCCACCCAGCAACAGACTCTTAATAGACATGTAATAGACTATTTTACATTCAAATATTCACACACAGGGGTACTTTCTTTAACTCTTAAGAAAAACCCATTCCCTATTTAGGTAATTTATAAGGAGTAGAGCTTGTTATTTCAAGTTCTGTATTTTTAATAACTGAAAATTTTGTGGTGAATGAGACTCTATTGCACCTGAGCTATCCGGATAATTATTCTCTAATTAAAAGAACATACATGTTAACAGCTGTGGATACATTAAGAGAGCCCAATTCTAAACACTGGTGAGTAAGGTTAACAGGGGTCACAAACAGCCACACTTAAACTTCAAGCCATACGACAAAAGTGTCTCTTCCTGCTATAACCTCCTCCCAGCCTGGCCCAAGATCATACTTCCCCAAGAGCTTGGAACACCCACGTTTGGGAACCGGGCATGGCTGTTGTAGTAACCACACAAAACTCACTAGCTGGCTCAGGGCCAACATCTCATCGTATGTCACAAAAGAATTAATCCTTCCTTAGCTAGTAAATAAAACTTAAGATGCTAACACAGGGGCAGCAGAATCATCCTTTAGTTGGATGATACACTTCTTTATTACAATTCTTACTCCCAAAATTCATCATGCTCACAGGAATCTCTCAAGTTACTGCTATCACTGCTACTCTGGCCTAATTACTGGGGCTACTCCAATAATCCTTTGTCTCCTACACGGATTCTCTATCCTCACAGCTCTCAAACACATCTGACACTGCAGCTGAAACAATTACACAGAACAACAAAGACCAGGAAACAAATGGGTTAAGAAATGGAGACTATCAGACACCTAGGTCAGGCATTATCGACAATGAATCAGTAACAGGCTCCAGGCTAGTAAGCAAAACAAAGTCTGCATGGCGTGTATTTGGAACCTTCCTCACAGGAATAGCACATAGATTCTCAACCATAGCAATTTCAACGACTTAGTTCATATGTCACAGCATTCAAAGTCCACCTCCCAGTTTCCATTAGTCCCATCAGTCTGACATCCCAAGGCTGCAATGACTGTCTCTCTGCATGAGCAACTGCAGGAAGAGAAGACAGAGTTGATTTCACTAAGAAAGGTGCAGGTTACTAAGATCACCAAAGCTGTTTCAGACTTCTGTTCTTCAGGACTCCACTTCTTCTGGCTTTGTCTTGACCTCCTTTCCCCCATCTGCTCCCCCTTGCTCATTTTTGCATTGTAAAATTTGAAATGTGAGCACTCCTGACGTCCGTACTGGACGGAGCCCCATGTCACCTGTGTGACCTTGAGGACTAGCTGACCTCTGTGGGGTCGCCTCTGGGGCCCTTCCGGTCACTATCAGCAGACTTAAGTCCTAGAGTAGCTCCTCGTTTGTACATGACTTCTAATTCTGAACTCCACATTCCGGGTTGATCAAGAATTTGGAAAGAAACGAGAGGGCCTTGAAATGTGAAGAAAAGAACTTACCAGAGAGAAAGAGAGAGAGAGAGAGAGAGAGAGAGAGAGAGAGAGAGAGAGAGAGAGGGAGGGAGGGAGGGAGGGAGGGAGGGAGGGAGGGAGGGAGGGAGGGAAGGAGGAGGAGGAGGAGGAGGAGAAGGAGGAGAAGGAGGAGGAGGAGGAAGAAAAGGAGGGGAGGGGGAGGGAGAGATACAGAGACACAGACACACAAATACACACACAGACACAGACACACAGACACACAGAGACACAGACACATACAGATACACAGACACACACACACACACACAGAAAGACAGATAGACAGACAGACAGATACACACACACACACCCACCCAAAAACCTAAACAAACAAAAACACGCAAACCCCATAACAAGGAGCTTCTTTATTTGTCAATAAACATTCTATGGCAGTGCAGCAAATAAATGTTTCTATGTCAGTGCAGCACTGTTACACAGTTACACTGTTACCAGAGGAAGTGGACATCCTAGGAAGGACAAGGTGGGTGGAATGGGAAAGACCTATGGAATGAGATTCGAGGGTAACCTGGGCTAATGTATATTTTCAAATTCACAAAAGCTATGAACTAATTTTTTCACAGAATTTCAAAGATTCTGAAATGGATTCCTTAACAATCCAATGTTTAAGAAACGACATGATTTAAGAACATCTTCCTGAGAGTTATTAAAAAAATAAACATAGGTAATTAAAAAAAAGTAGTGACATGCATTCCTTTGTAGTTTTAAATAATTTTTTCATGGAAACAACATGAAAGAACATTCATAGACATAGTGATTAGATTATACTTTATCCACCTCACTCAGCTAGATTCATACTGAAGGGGATGCAGTAAAATCAGAGAGAATACTACTATTGACTGAAGTCTTAGAATTATACTCAGACCTTATACCAACAAAGTCATAGAAGTCAAGGCAATCTGATCCCTTCTATGGCTTTCTACTGTCTAGGGAACAAGAACATATGGACTATACAGTTTCCTAGGCCATTCAACGTTATTATTTCTCATATTCTACCTGGATTTGGAAAAAAGAAAAAAGAAAGAAAAAGAAAAGGCATCATATGAACCATTTAAGACTCACAGGATTCACTTTGCCCACAATTAATCAAAGTCTCAGGAGTGGCGGATAAAACTGAAATTATAAAGAAGTCAGTGTTATTTCATTCACATCCACAGATCTCTGTTGCTTATGCATAAAAGCCAAAGGCCTATGGGGGCTCTGAGACGAAGACACTGATCTTTGCTCAGGCAATAAGGACGCGGACTTTCTATTTGTCTATAAGGAAATGGAATTGAACAGGTTGGAAGGAGATGAGACCAGATTCTTTTGTAAATGTACAGCAGTGCAAGCCTGTCAGGTCAGGCTGCACTAGGCCAGCAATGTTTACAGCTCTTTGAAGGTTAATTATGGCTCTTAGTTTTATAATTAAACTGCAAACAGTGTATGTTGTCGTAACTGACAAATTACTATCCAGTTTCTTACTATTTTCTCCTTTTTTTTCTGAATTCAAGTGTTTGATGTTTAGAGCAAGATGACGTCACAGTGGATGCAAGTTGGGAAGGAAATATTTTTTTAAAGCTCATCTTTTATCTTAAAAATAAATTAAGATGTTCAAAGAGAAAAAATACAGTGATCCTTTTAAAAATGAATAAACTGTACATTAAAATCAATTGTATACATCTTTTGGATATGAGCTTCATATGGTGCCGTTTATCCAGTGTGAAACAGCTCCAAAATTAACAAGAATTTTGGGTGTGCTAAAAAACCAAACAAACATGAAATAGTATTCTCTGTCTACACCATTATCCCCAAATAGGATAAGATCTTAAAAGAAACTGTAATAGAAAATAGTGACCACATTTTCAAACCTGTTCCTCTTTGCAAACAGCCACTTACTCGATAAGCACAGGATGCACATTAGGGAGAAATGAAAGCTTTGATTTTTATGCTGTCTCCTCTGAAGCTATATTTAGCTTGGCAGGTCAAAAGAACTATTCCATCCAAGAGCAAATGGACAGAGGTCAGAACTGCAGATGAGAATGAGAAGTATGTAATTCATGTTTTGGTTTGTATTTCCAAAATAACTCAAAGCTTCAGTGACGTCTCCCACCCTAAGTTACCGCCATCAGCCAAATCCACTGGACATCTGACTCTCAGTGTTCCCACCTCAATTAATATGCTCTGCAAATGCTACACAGCCTTTGTTGTGGCATCTGTCTGCTCCTTTCCAGACAACAGGGACTACCTTCTCGTCCAAATGTGCCAGCTTTCTTCAGCAATTATTTATTGAAACTCAACTTTGTATTCCCAAGCTTAATGTAACATGGGCATAAACTATAACCAATAAACAGCAGAGGGGGTGATGTGAATTTTTAAGCCAGATCATTCACCGCGTTGAAATACATACATACATACATTCATACATACATACATACACACACACACACACACACACACACACACACACACACACACGAAAACAAATGCCTAGGCATAGTGTAATCCCTGCACCTGAGAGTCACAATAGGAAGATGACTGTGGGTTAAAGCTTAGCCAAGGATACAGTGAGGTCCCAATGAAAGAAGGAAGAAAAAAGGAAGGAAGGAAGGAAGGAAGGAAGGAAGGAAGGAAGGAAGGAAGGAAGGAA